TTATAGTACGCTTATAAACCATCAACGTCTTGCATAGATGATGACACCAACATCGATCTTATTGAAAGAATGACAATGTCTTACTTTTTTTGTCAGCATGTACTCTTGATAAGTGGTCCTCCATTTTTGAAGGCTTTATAAGCATCGTTACTGAATACTTTTCACATATGAGACACGTCGGCAAGTGTTGATTTGAAAGCGATCGAATAAATCCAAACTTCAAGTAGTCCAAACTGTATTTGTATTTTTTTCTGTCATCATAAAACTCGCAGTAAACCAAATTAAAAAAAAATATGTTTAAGAAACTACTTAAAAAACAATAATACAACTGTTAAATTTTCACACGAACTTATTTTTATCACACCTAGACACTGGATGTTTTTTAGGTATGCTCACGAACTTTCTCGTTGATAAACTTGGATAAACTGTAGTATAAAAAATTTGTATTAGGTATCAATCAGCGTAAAAAACGAAAACAAAGAAAACTGAACATTTATAATTTTGGGTAACTTTTCAAAAATATTTTCAAAAAATACTAAAAACGTTTTTTGGTTCTTGCCCTGTTACTTTTTCATAAACTGCAGAAATGTATGGTTACGCTATTAATGCGCTTAGGTATCTAAGCACTTGTTCAGTAACTTTATTTTAATTCACTTTATTTAACTATATAATAAATTAGTAGATTGGTGTATTATCATTCAAGCTCCAACGAATTTTAAAACGCATATGAACTGGCAACCTAAGTGCATGCTTGTTATATAGTAAAATATCAGTAGCATGTTTGGACTTGAACTTGATCATGATTTCGTTCGAGTTAAATCGCGTATATGAGTCTGAAAGCCTTGTATGCTCGAACTTGCTGAGTTTTTCTCATCTTGTACGAACTTGTGCACGCTTATCGACTTATTAAATTTTTAAAAGTACAATGATACTTCCTACTAAAATATTAGTCAATTCTAACAAGTTGGTACACTTATCACAGCTTAAACAGTATCTTGAAATAAAAACTTGTGTTAATTAATAAGGATCGATTTTTAGACCTCTTCGGCCCCCAAAATCAGTTTTTGTTTATGTCGACCCCTGGGAAACCGATTTCGAGTTCAAAGGGTCGGTATCGACCACTTTGCAAATCCCTGTCCTAAGTGATTTAAAACTTTTTATAAGGATTTTTTTTTTTTTTAATGAAAGAAAAAACTTTCTCATGTTTCTCAAACTTTTTAGAACATACTATGTAATGGATTGCACGTCGTTAACAACAATGTGTATTCAGACATTGTTAAGGATATTATACAGTATTTAATTTAACTACAATAGCGATGAGTGTATAAAAACAACGTCAATATAGTTATTTTCAACCCATCAGCCATCTTTATCGCAAAAGATGATGGTCGACAGCCGTGTACAGTAAATTCAATTTAATTATCTATCGATCGGATAGAAAATTTTCCAAAAAAAAGCAATGGGTGGAGGGTGACACATTTTTTTAAATTGCTAACAATTTTTTATAATGTAAAAAGCAAACGATATTGGCGAGGCTGTCAACCGACGGATTACTATTACACAATATGTTACCCGACGTCTCCATGAAAATTTAGCCTTACTAGTGATCAATCCAACATTTTACAGTGGGCTCCCATAATATATTTCCTAGAAGCATTTCCGATGTTTAACACGCTGTACCTCGAAAACAAGTCATAGAATTGATTTGGGCCAATGGACACTTTGTCAGGGTATCGAGTTCTAAAACATATCAACATTTCTGAAAATTTGACGGAAAGCCAATTTTCCATATTAAATGTGCCTGGTCCTTTAAAGAGTGTACCATATTGTCAAGAATAAAAAAATGAATAGTTTTCTTCAACCAGTAGAGTGTGGAGGCGCCGTTTTTGTCTAATCTCAAAATTTATAATGAGCTTATGATTTACTAGCCCAAAAATACAGTTAGTCCAAAAAGTCTCCGTACACTACCTGCTTTACATCGAACTTTTTTGTTGTATTCAATTAATTAATCAAAACTCTATGAGAACATATTTTTATTGATAATTGAAACATACTTTTAACGATTATTAGTAATAATTGCAAAGACGAATCCTTATTTAAAAATTACATCAATAATATAAACATCTATACAAAAATAATGCCAAAAAAGTCTCCGTTTCTAATAATAATTTAGCAGATAGGAAACAAATGTAAAAACTAATATTTAGTTGGACCGCCCTTGGCCTTGATAATCGCTTGCAACCTTCTTGTCATACTTGAAACCAACTTTCTAGTAAGTTCTGCTGGAATGTTCTCCCATTCGTGCAATACTCTGTTTTTTTAACTCTTCCTTACTTGAAACGTTATGTTTGCGGGGGTGTGTGAAGTTGCTGTCGCACGTTATGGATCATCCATTCTCGTACCAAGTTTGCAGTATGCTTTGGATCATTGTCCTGTTGGAAAATGTATCTTCCTTCGAGCGCTAATTTCTGCACACTTTCTGCTAAATTGTCTCGCAAAATGTTCATATAGACATGCTGATCCATGATCCCATTAATGAAATGTAAATTTCCAACACCTCCAGCGGACATGCATCCCCATAGCAGAACACTGCCACCCCCGTGTCTTACCGTGGAACAGAGGTTTTTGATATCAAAGGCGGTATTCTTCTTTCTCCAAACTTTAGCTCTACCATCAGATCCAAAAAGGTTAATTTTAGTTTCGTCACTAAATATTACAGATTCCCAAAATTCAGGAGGCTTATCAACGTATTCTGTAGCAAAAGCTAAACGTTTTTTTCGATTAACTTCCGAAATTAACGGCTTCTTTCTGGCAGTACACCCCTTATAGCCTGCTCTGTGTATACAATTTCTCACCGTTTGTAAGCAAACATTTTTTGAAAATAGCTCTCGTATTTCTTCTTTTATTTTTGGTGCACTTTTCTTGGGATTTATAATTACTTGCCTAACAATACTAGCTTCTTCACGCGGAGTCAGTTTCTTGGGACGACCAGAACGTGGTCGAATCTTGTAGGAACCCGTTAATTTATACTGGTTTATAATGTACTGAACGGTAGTATACGGCTTCTTAATAATTTTTCCAATATTTCTAAGGGATTTTTTTCTTTCCATAAAAAATCAACTATCAACTTACGAAGTGGAATTGCAATTTCACGATTTCTTTCGCTCATTTTTAATGCTAATTTGAAACTTCACTGCAAATCTACCAACAACAGATAATGAATTATGGCCGATAATTATTCATTTGTTTTTAGGCTGGCGAGCCATAGGTGCCTTGATGAAATGCAGCTAATTATAATGTGCTTTTTTCAATAAAAATGTCCATTTATTGTAATTATAACTTTATAATCGTTACTTATGCTTCAGTTATTGAAAAGAGCGTATTCTCTCGTAGTTTCAATTAATAAATTAAATGCAACAGAAAAATTCTATATAAAGCAGGTAGTGTACGGAGACTTTTTGGACTAACTGTATATATCCTTACCAAATCTCAAGTCGATACGTTTAATAATAACGAAAATATTGCAAAAAAGTAACGAAAAATAAATTTTAATTTTAACACTCTGTATCTCAGAAGTGGATAACAGTGTTATTTTCCATACTGTATAAAACATCTTGTAAATAGGCGTAGATGAATTATATTTAAAATTCCTGCGTTTTTTTTGTTGTTTACCATGAAACCTGAAATCAGCCATTTTTTATTTTTTTCATTAGATACTCCAAAATATTTGAGGTCCAATGCATGATTCGTAATAGAAATACAAGCAGTGTGAAATAAAAAGAAAAATAATACCTACGACAAATATATATCGATTTTTCTTCTTCAATTTTTCACTCTTCTCTTCTTCCCCGCTTACTCCGTGTCTCTTCTATCTGCTATCCGCAACTTTCCCTGTCTTTCATCGCGTTTACCTCTGCTGCCTGTCTCTGTGTTTCTGGTTTACTCTAAAACGGCTCCTCCTTACTTCTTTACTTGTCTTTCTAATATTTCTCTTTATTTTTAATTTCCTTTCAGTGTAACAATTCTACAAATTCTTAGACTATGACATTTTACATCCTCGACTTTTTTAAATTTCCCACTGACAATAATTTTGAACTGACACTGATTTTCTACTTTAATTTTGATTCCCAGAAATTTCATCAACCCAGCATAATTCAATTTTGACAACAATTTGGATGACGTCAGGAATTTCCATATTAATATGTTTTAATATTTATTTAAAATGTGTATGAGTCATCAAAAAGTTTCTCGTATTGTAAATACATCAAATTATATCATCGAGAATAAAGTAGAAACGACATAAACACTATTTTGCGATATGTCAGATGGACGCATTTCAAGTGACGAAAAAGTGTAATGAAAATGGCAACTTGAGTTGTACTTTGATTTATTTTTAGTTAATAATATTATATTTGAAGACTGACGGAATGAAAATGATTTTATATCATTTAAATCAAGCTGTTTAAAAAAAAGCAGTTGTTCTCACCAAAACTGACCAGTTTCGCCACCTCCAGTTTTGACATATGACGCAAAAGTGTAATGCAATCGTAGCATATCCTCTTTATTCTATCTCGATGAATTATATATACATGTTCAGCTTAAATTTTTCTTGAGTATTGCCGATTAACAGGAGGAACTGCGATAGCTTTATAAATAGCGAGCACTCCTTAAATCCCACTGTTTGCGCGTCGGAGGATGAGATTCGTCGGCGTCATGGAATTACCACGCCTTTTTCTACTTTCTCTTATTCTTGCTTCATATGATTATTCTTCTTTATGTTGCTCCTTATAGTCTATGCCCAAGAAAATTTAAACCGAATGTGTATAATGTATTGATATCAAACTGATTTAAAAACTAAAAATGCTTCACTAGTTTGTCAACTTATATAATTATAATTTTAGCTCCCATCATATACGAATATTTATAAACTACAATAAGAATGTATTTGATATATTGACGAAATAATTATTTTAATAAACTAAAAAGAATGTATATATCAGTCGAAGGAACGTAAAGAAAAGGGGACAGTAAGCCTTATGAAACGTCTAGCCAGTATGAAACGGTCCAAGTCTCCGCCACCATCTACGTATTCCATGGATAATCCAGTTTTCGAAGATACCAGCGTTCAGCCAACAAAATCTTCAGCTACACCTGTTCATGTCAGGTATATATTTCCTATATCCAGCATTTGCATGTGGTGTTTTTGTAGTTGGTTTTTAGTAGATTCATTTTTTGCACGCAATAAACTTTGGCTTTACAAATTAATTCCCCCATTTTTTAGTAGTTTCTAATTCCTATAATTCATTGACAGCATAGAATATTCATTACCCTGAAGTTATTCAGAAATAAAACCGTCCAAGTGAAATATATTTTAGCCTTAGTTATTTAAAGAAATTTTTAAATACATAATTAATATGTTTTCATTCAAATTCGGCTGAGCTATTTCGGCTTATAAAACCGTAATCAAAGCCTTGCTAAAAGGTGTTCTAAGTTAAAATTTAATAAGAGATAACTTACGTCCACTATACTGTCGTGCTAAGCACAAAGGTGGTAACTGTAATAAACTTGAATTCGAGAAATTTACATATTTCGATGTGTCAACTTTGTGGTTCTGAAATCGGCATTATAAAGTTTCAGGTGTGACCATGGTGTAAAAATATAGGTGAAGCGGTGCGCAGGTTTTATGACGTCAACATCGATATTGTCACGGCTGCCTACCATACTGCCATGGCTTTGTTTACATTTTGTAATGATTGTCAAGATGTTACTCTTTTATTTCCTAGTTCTATAATCATTGTAAAACTGAAAATATATATTTAGATGAAAATAACCACTGATAAATCACATCAAGTTATGCTCAGTAATACAAGAAAATGCCAAGAAACTCACTATAGGCAGATATTGGACTCTTGTGCAAAGAAATACAAAATAAAAATTATTATGTGCTCTTTTAGCTTAATCAGATAATATGCATTTTTCTTGAGGATAAACAAGATATAGTGTTCATCTGAAACTGATTTCTTCCATCACAAAACATGAAGAAGATGTTAGGTACGTCTAGGATTTAAATCTTCATGTCTAGGATTTAAATCTTCATCTTCATACCTAGCATCACTATCTGATAGATTGAGATCAAGATGAGCGCCAAAACGTCTAGAACCTAATCTTTCATGGACATCACTATTATAAAGTTTTAATGTCTGTCCCGATAAAAATTGGAATAGATAGAAGGCCTATAGGTAAAAATAAGTATATTTAAATGTTGTGAAAATGAAATATGTGATTTAATTACCGAAAGAACTAAATAAATGTACCTTATATAAATAAAATTTTGTAAAATGTTAACAAAGACAGGACCATAAAATTAAAGTGAAATAAATTAACAGGATATTTTTTTAGTTGTGGATTTTCTTAAATAATCAGCTTGAAGGATCTGAATAGTAGTCACTTTTGTAGGATAATTATGAATATATTACCTAATTTGTACAGTTGAGTGCTGATAAATCTGTTTATGTATTTAATAATAGAAACACTTGGCATAACATATTTTATTTTAATAAAAAGCACAGAGGTGTTTATTTGGAATTTGTTTATTCATGTTTAATAATGTTTATAAATTGTTGATACATATAGTCCAATTAAATAACGAAAAAAAGCCCCTTTGAGCTTACATTAATTTGTAATTGGATGAAACAAAGTGGACATTGTGTATTTTGATGTGATCTTTCTGAAAAAAAGAAAAAAATGATGTAGCTGTTTTTCAACTTTTTTTAAATTAGGAAAAACCGGGTTTTTCGGAATTTTTCATGGTAAAAATGCTAATTATCTGGGCAAGTATCATTCTGATAGTAAAAATAAATGCACCAATCGAAATAAGAGGCAAAAATAGTTCGGAATTTCATTGCACAGGTAGTTTTAATGGCGAATTTCTCGCCGCCAGAAGTGCTTTTACCAAAAAGTTGTTTTTTCGTTTCTTTGATCAGAATCATGAACATGCAATTTGCGATAAATTTGTGGCGAAATTATAAATGTTAGATATATGTGCCCATGAGAGAAGTTGCGTATTTTTTATGGGCTCTCCAATAAAATAAGTCCTGCGGCGAAATCTGCCATAATTTTTCGGGAATTCGCAGGAAACCGGAAGGCGTTAATTTTTTTTAATTTTTTTCCCATATAATTTTCTCCGGGTTTTCCGAAAACATCTAACAAAAAATATAATGGAAGAAACTAATTGCGCTATCGGAAAAAGCACAAAAAAATATACAAAAAGGTATACTTTAAAAATGTTAGGAAATGAATCCTAAGCTTGAGCGTAAGTTCCAACTTGGTGATAAGCTTGTTTTTTTGTTCTCTAACAACTGGTTTTCTTCTCGGTTGATGCTCCATCCTCCTTTTTTTTTTGGCATTGTCAATCGCGGCCCTTTTATGCCTATCCCAGGTTTTATAAATAAACTCTTTTCTGTAACGTCGAGCTACGTAATGTTTGCGACACCTCTCATGCAATATAAAACCTGGTTTTAAAGAACTGAAAAAATCATCCCCTCTCTCTTTGCTGACCATATGAAGACCTTTTAATCCTGTCGGTCTAATTGGGGTAAGTTCACCCTCTGCAAGTTTCTGATAAGAACGTACTTACTCAATAAATTGCTGAAGAAGTCCGAAAAACCAAGTGTACACAGAGCTTGCTGAACACGGTTATTAAAAATCTATGCCGATGAACACTATCAAACGATTCAATTTGTAATAATATGACAGTTTCAAATTTAAACTTGTCGGATAGCGAACGCCGAGACCATGGCTATCCTTGATACGACGTCCGGCTAATTTTGCGGTAATTCTATTTTTTGCACAAAACTCAAGAAACGTCTTATAACAAGTCAGTAAAATACATTTTAATAAATTTTAGGCCTAATAAATTTAGGTATGTAAGAAATTTAAAACTGGAAATCGCAAAAAAATCAAATTACAGAAATGCACGAGTTTTGGATCCCGCGGAGCGCGTGTAATGGGACTTTTGTCGGGAGAATTCTACAACTTAGAAGAAACATACACACTTTAAACTTTGTATACACATTCAGAAGACATAAAATTTGGGTTTGCTCAATTTTCAGACCAAAAAACTAAAAATCGTCAATTTTAGGCAGCTTTTCTCAAAAACCGTGTTTTTTTTTTTGGTCGTCACTCAATGAACAGTGGTCAAAAAAATAGATAAAATATTTTTGCAGAATTTTCCGTAATGTAATCGGATTCTAGACATAGTAGAGTATTCAAAAAAAAAAGTTTTGAGTCATTGGGTGCATTTTTGGCATTTTTGTGCTACTTCAAACTTTTGAAAAAAAATTTAGTTTTTTTTAGGGAAAAAAATTGGTTAAATTGTTTGATATCTTGGCCAATTATAATCCGATTTCGGTAAAATTCACACGCGTATAAGATTTCATATTTAAGAGTTAGCTCTGTAAGTGGCATTAAAAAAATTTAAATAGTTTGGCCGTTATAGGCAAACAATGAAATTAGGCTTGTGGTACACTTTGCCCTTCCGCCATATGTCCAATTTTGGGATTTCTCTTGCCCCCTTCTGGGAATCAATAGTCACATCCCTTAAGTTCAAAACGAATTTTTGTTTCTTCAAATATCTTAATTTTTACCAAAGTTATGAAGAATTTAGTGTTTGAACATTTAACAAATTCAATTTTTCGACCTTCGCCGCCTCAAAATACTAAACAAATTTCAATCGTTCATACCGCGAGAACGGTGCATCGGATCAAAATTTCTAAAAATTGGCAGTTTTCTAGGCTTTCAAACGTCGTAAACTGCGTTTTAAAAATATTGATTTATTTGCGACATGCGCATGCGCAAAATTGAAAAATTGACAAAATCCAAAATTTCGGCACTTTCGAAAAACTGCTACATTTTGTTTTGCCTTTTTTTCGAAAAGATCACCTCAAAATACATAGAATCCATTTTGTTTCATCTAATTACAATTGAATGTAAGCTCAAAACCGGTAATTTAATTCGATTAATGAGGTTTACTTTTTTATCTTGCTTGCCACTTTATAATCTATATTTATTTGGCTCATGGAGTTCTAGGAGTGACGGATTTTTCTGTTACACTCCTGCAGGTGCAAATCTATATTTGATTTGGGGTATTTTTAGTTATTTCTTTTAGTTCTTCACAAAGACTTTCAATAGTTTTCTCTAAAATAACAATTTCATTTTGGTGGTCACATTTGAAACAATGATATAGAGTTTAATTAAAAATATTAAACATTTCTATTTAATTCCTTGTAATATTCAATAGTTCTACGTGCTAAGATAATATAATTTTCATTTCAAAGCCACAGGTACCATATTATAAATTATTACTTAATATTTTTGTATCTCCTAAAACTTTCTTTTTTTTTTTCTCAACATACGACCTATTGCACTAACAACGACAATATACAATTTTCACATTAAGAATAATTTTTGTTAATAACGTAAATTCGTACTTACATTTCTAGTTCTGGAGATACTGAAATATTAACAAAGCAATCAATAAAGGTTTGTCGATATCTTTTTGTCTGCCTTATTAATTTTTCGTCACATTCTGCAGACAATAGTTGTCCTTTTTTTTAACTGGGAGAATTTCTGTAGAAACTGCTGTTGGTTTTAAATTTCTGCCATTTTTAACTGAGCAGTTTAACAGCCTCTGTTGTAAGAATATTTCAAAACTATCCTTTGAAAAATGTGTAGAAAAATACAAGCTTAAAAAGAAACAAAACATACAAAAATGATTATAATTCAATTTAGTTTTGCAAAAACCATACCATTCTTCAGGTTATTTGTATCCTTCCTCCTGCAAGCATTGATCTATGCTTTAAATACATCTGTTTTCGAAAACCAAAATACTTAAGGTTTCTTTCCTTTATTTTTCGCCAATAATTCTTATAGCCATACACTGCACAACCTGGCTAGTAACTACACTTCCTAAAATAGTAGATTTTAATGTAGGTAACAATAATATAATAATAACATAATTAGAAACTATTTTTTTATCTTAATACAGCAAAAATATGACAACCTAAGTTTATATCAATTTAATTAGAAATTAATTGAAAAATACCTACCAATAATTACTAAAAAGACATCTTGATGTATAGAAATAATATTAAATTTTAGAATAAATACATTTATAAAGTTCTAAGAGTGCTTAGAATCTGATAGTGATTAGAAAAATATTAAAGTAACATAAAAACTCGCTTTTTAACATTGAAGACATAGGCAAAATACAAATCTACTTCGAAGGTGACGTCATGCGCAAGACTAACCGAATTTCGTACCGCTTCATCTGTATTTTTTCACCATGGGCGTGACTGTATATAGTCATTTTGAAAGATAATACTTCAAGTTTGTGATTTTTTCAATTTTTATTCAAGATATTTAAAGATTTGGTATAAAAATCATAATCTTTTCAACTTACCACTTATTAATCAATTTTTTCAATTATTTATTACTACAGCATATTGTCGTATGTAATTAATGATTATTCACATTTATTTTATAAATTGAAATCTTTATTAAAGAGGTACTAGTTATAATAATTAATTTTGTTATTAACCAATTTTAAGTAATGACAAAAAATAGAATATAAAAAAGGAAGGAAAAAAATAAAAGCTACAGATGATAATTGAATTGCATAACATTAAATATATCATAGCGGATTCGACTCAAATGCTCTTGCTCGATGACAAAGCGCTTTTAGTTCTGAATTGATTTTGGGCAGCATTTTTATAATTCAACTTTATATCTAGCGCACAGAAAGCATGAGCTAGAGTTCGACATTAGTGTAGCGCATATTTATCGTTATTCGACTGGCACAGTTAGCACTTGACATTTCAGATTTCTAACAAATTTTTAACGATATTTGTTTATAGTTGCCAAACCAAAAATTAAATCTCTATTAATTTCAAAGATTTTCCATTATCACTAATAATAAAGACAAAGATGGTAATATATTTAAAAATATGAAATAATTCCTAACCTCCAAAATGACACTGGCACTGAAAAAAAGTACAGTTCCAAAAAATTCGAACTTTGAGCAAGAGCGCCTGCCAGTCGAACAAAAATTTCACTATGCTTTAGTACCGAGCAATTTCAGTCGAATGCAATAATTGACTTTTAATTAATTAGGTTCTGTCAGTCGAACAAACACCACTTAAAAAAGTCGAACTAAATGCGCATTAATGCAGCCAGTCGAATCCGCTATTAGTAATATCAGTTCTCAGTACTTTAGTCTTCTTCTTCATCGTTATTCTTCCCAAAATTTTAACCTAGTTTTTGTTATGATACCATTTGAAGGCTTCTTTTTATCTTTGGAAATTCCGTTAGCAGTCTTTTTCTTATTTTGTTCTAAAATACCGTCTTTGATTATTTTCACCTGAAGGAAATTAATTATTTTGTAATCTGGGTTCTTAAATGAATTTTTATAAAATAACGCCAATCTTCTTTTCTACTTTAACTTTACTGAAATTTTTAACAATTTTTTTTTATTGGACGGTCTTATTTATGGTTTTAATCACTTTCAATGTAGTGTTTGAATGTCTACGAGTAAGAAGAATTATTGTAAACTTACAAATTTTGCATGTTGCAATTTTGTTTATCTTTTGATTTGCCTAAAAAATTATGTAGCCATTGCTTTAATTGAAAATTTAGTAGCCCGAAAATATGATTATGATTATTATTAGGATACATTATTAGTGTACATTATTTATCTACAGTCATCATTGTTTAAATTTAATTTCAATTCTGTTTCGCGTTTTTTATTTGGTTAAATAAATGCGACTTTCATAAAGTGTTACGCTCCTATAGTAACTTCTCTACGATAAGATATTCGAAAGAAAATGCTTGGACAGTAGTCGAATTTTATTTCTGATGACGCGCATTTTTGCATTAAAAAACTGACCTTAAATTGAAAGGGTTTTTAATTCTCTATTCAACTGCTTAAATTCTTTTAAATTTACTTTATAATAAATAGTCCAATCAAGTAGATATTTGAATCAAAATTTTAGAGAAAATACAGGAATTTTTGATATAAGTTACTTTATAGTATTTGAAAACGATAAGTGAAAAAAAAATTGTTTTTCAGGCCCCGAAGAGTGAAAAAATAAAATAAAATGCTAGTATTAAAATTAGCTGAGTTAGAATGGTTAGAAGTTAAAGGAAGATATTTATAACTTTAAAAAATCATAGCATGCAGTTTCTTTTTATTTTTTATTAAAAAAAGTTTAACAATTTTAATTTTCAATATATACGACTTTATACGGTGAAATAATTTTCGAAGTGAAACTTATTATGGCTCGCCTGACATGAAAAATATGAGGAGTGAACTGATAAAAACGACACCGCGACAGCCTTGGTCTCATTAAATAAATAAAAAAAAAATAAATAAATAAAAATGAATAAACAAAAATAAATAAATAAAATATAGATCAGAAAGGAGACTTCTGACTCACTTCTTCAAAATCCGCCGATAGATGCTCAACAATTGTAGTGGATATTTTAAAATTTTGTTTTTTTTATCAATTTAAAATAATCATGTAGCATAAAAACATTTTATTGATTATATGTATAACTGAAAAGAAAAACCATTTAATTAAAAATTACAGGAAAATTAAAAAATTTGAAAAGGCAACAACAAAAAAATTAATATCCTGTTGGACCTCCCCTGGCTCGTCTTAGTGCTGTCACTCTATTTGGCATGCTCTCTATTAAATTATTGATAAATTGTTGAGGTATGGTTTCCCAAATTGCCTGCAACTCATTACCCAACTGTTTTAAGGTTTGGGGAGGCTGTTGACTTCGGTTTAATCGCCTAGACATTTCAGCCCAAATATGCTCGATACAATTCATATCTGGTGAACAGGGTGGCCAATCCATTCTTGTAATTCCATGATGTTATATGCGATCGTTTACAATTCTCGATGAGGACGAGCATTATCGTCAATAAAAACAAATCGTTCACCTATTGCACCAAAAAATGGTACAATTATCAGCTCTATAATCCTGTCCCGATATCGTATGGCAGTCATTGTCTAATCATTAACTAATGAGTTAAGACCACTAAATCAGAGCGACCATCATAACATATCCCTCCCCAGACGCAAACTGATCCTCCACCAAAAAGAGTTGTTGGGGCCATTAAAATTTCATTGTATCGCTGTCCTCTTTCTCGCCATACCAATATTCGGCCATCACACGTATACAAACGAATTCTGGACTCGTCGGCAAAGAGGCAGTGCCTCCAATTTTGAAAAGTCCAAAAACTGTGTTCTTCCGCCCACCGATATCGGTATGCACGCTGCTCCGCCGTCAGTCTTGGGTGTGTTGCGCGACGTCTAGCTCTTAAGTTACATGCATGCAACCTTCTTCTGATAGTTTGACCAGAAATTAATCGTCCAGTAGAATGTAATTCTTGAAGCCATAAATGTTCGGTTTCTTCTCGCAGTCGGGACTATAAACCGATCTTGAGCACGAGTTGTAGCTTGTTCTCGTCCTCCCCCATGTGTGTACGCTGCAGACCCAGTTGCTTGATACCGATTCCAAGCACGACTAACGACACTGAGACACATTCAGCCGTGTGGCGACTTCTTCTTTGGACAAACCTTCCTCTATCCAACGCACTAATTGCTGCAGTTGCACTGCCTCTAATCGTCGTAGCGGCATATTCTTTACTCGAATACACAAAATTATTGATAAAAGTAACAGAACAAAGTAAGAACAAGCTCTTGTGCACAACTGATACTTTATGATTTTTAAACAACCTTCCTGCAATTTTCGTGAAAGAGATAAGAGGCATTGACAACGAACAATAAACATGCAAAAAATTATCGCTGTGAATACGGTTTATTGATAATACAAAAAAATTATTTTTTTAAATATGTTTACATATAAATTTCAGTATTTTAGCATTTTAGCAATTATCCAGTTCAATTGTTGAGCAATGTAGTTTAAAATTTGGTACAACTGAAAAGACTTAAAAGATATTTGTTATCATTTGCTTTTTTATTATAACTCGTGAAAGGCGAATTAAAATTGTATTTTAGTACCTAAAACTGCTTGTATTTGAGACCATTTTCATTTGAATAAATAAAACGGTGATGACTTATTGAGGAAAAGGGAAAAATATGTGATACTAATATTAAATTTGATATATCTGCTTATTTAGCAAACTAGCTGAATGTCTGTCCAAATTGGCTATTGTGAGTGTTTACATTTAGGTCGGGATCATGTCCGAGTCAGCTACTTCAAATTCAACCGAATGACCACCATCGTATGTTTGGATCTTCTTCACAACGTCACAAACACAAAGAACGCCCTACTATACTTACTCACAATTCCAGGTGTGTTTTGCACATATTAATATGTAGTTGCATGCTTTTTGATTTATATTTAATAATAAATCGATTAGATTGATTTATTTATGTATTAAATATGTATTTTCAGTTTCTTAAAGTAGGAAAATAGTTTTTTCTAATTTTGACATATAAAGTGACATTTATTGCAATCGCAGTTGTTAAATGTTGAGCATTATGAAACTGGTTTCGAAAAATTAATCATGTCACCAGTTGCGAAAAGAAAAATAAACCTTTTTTGATTTTGAAATCAATAATATACATTATTACTGTTTATATCAAAGAAGGGCTTGACTTATAAAATTAAAATTTGGTTAAACTTACAACCTAGTGATAATGTGTTTTGGTTCTTATTTTCCATTCTAAAAATTAGCACAAAATAAAACACAATACACGACAAAATAACCAACTTTCTTGAAATTGAAATAACTCTTAAGAAATATAAACACACTACATACAATCGTTGAGAATAAATTAATGAGGTTAAACATATGCAATTAACAATACAAGAAAGTAGTAATATTGTTAGCCTAGCCTAGATGTCAGTATTTTTTTACCTAAACACGATTTTATAAATAATTAGTCAAAATTAGAAAATGTTTTGTATGTAACGCGTTACGAAATGCCGTTTTATGTAACTCGTTCACGTTGGAGATCCTCGCTCTGCTCGTCCCGCATATATTCACTCGTTACATAAAATAAGGCATTTCGTAACTGGTTTCATAAATAGCTATAAAACGGTACTGAAAATCAAAATATAACTATAGCATTATTTAAAAATGGCATTCTCAAAAAGTTCATTTTTGTGTGGTACTAATTTTGAAAATTTTGATTTCGTTTTTTTAAATACATATTTTCTTCGAACGAAATTTTTCTGACAATTATTTTTGACAAGGCATTGTTATCGGCAGTGGAGTAGAAGTGACAGTCTTCTTTTGATTGTGAAAATACTCCGCAGTTTCCTTATGTCAAATGGCTGCTCAATTTTATATGTTGTAGTTTTTGATCTCCTAATTAAAAGGGTCACCCATGGACACAAAGTTCTCATATTACTAGTTTGCGCTTCTGAATTCTCATTTTCAAAAATACTTTAACACGTAAACGTTAATAATGATGATTAATAAGGATTAATAATGATTAATAATACTTAATAATGATTAATAATGATTATTGATTTAGGATCGATGATTAATAATAAAGACTAAAGTAAAACAAATAATGATGGAGAGTAGAAATAAGCTCAACAGTTGATGGCAAATCGGAGGCGTACTTATTAATTTTTCAGAGGGTTAAAAATGAACCAAAAATGCTTAGTACAATTATTTAAAATAATCACAATTTTTTTTATTTATTTCATTCGAACTTTGCAATATCGTAATTTACCTAATCGTTGAAGTAATTAGTTGGGCTTTATGAAAACGGAGTAATAATTGTGGTAATTATGGTAGGTACCAAATAAATTAACAATATTAATAAAAATCACAATATATATTTAAAATTAAAAATAAAAAAGATACCTAAATATATAAACTTCTTTTTGTGTGCAAATTTTCGTCTAATCTTCAACCTCAGATTCGTCTCTGTCGCTACCGTTATCATCAAAGTTAATTATGATCGGTTCAATATTGTGTTCAATACGGTTGTCTACGTCCCACATTTTTTGCTCTTCTTTTAAAACATGCTGAATGCATTTCTTCCAATCTTCTGCAGAAACATTTTGAATGGCTTCTTGTAGGAATTGTTGCACGTCCACTAATTTAAATGTTCTGTTTTCTCGTGCCACATATCCTTTTACTTGCGCCCAGATTAATTCTATTGGGTTTAATTCGCAGTGTTAAAACTGTAATTCCACGGCTTAACGCCATTTCATCCGCTGCGAATTTTTTTATATTTGTCTTTGTATAATTTTGTTAGCTGAAGTAGTTTTATATTGGATGTTTTATTAATTAACCATTCTTGAATTGCTGCTTTTTTCCACGATTGTTACGGTAATGATTCTAAATGCCGACTATGATATGGGGCATTGTACATGACGACGACAGACCCAGGTTCCACAAGTTGAATGATGCCTTCAAACCATTTTTCAAACACCTCCGTATTCATCTCTTCATGATAGTCGCCTGTTTTCTTAGATTTAAATATTAATTCACAATTTGGTAACAATTCACTGTCGCTTCCTATATGCGTAACTATCAGACGACTATCTTTTCCAGACAGCTGTTTTAACCCAGTTGACAAGCCTTCAATAAAGGTTGTCGTGCACTTGTTATATGACCATCCTGCCATACTTTTTTGACCGTGTGTCCTTGGTTAATCCACGTCTCATCCATGTAGTATTTTTTTTTTTTAGCTTCCGAAATTCGTCAATTTTTCTGAGAGAATTTCTTCTCCATACTATTATTTCTTGACGTTCAATGAGAATGCTTTTCCTGTCGACTTTTCCGTACGTAAATTTCATTTCTTGTAAAATTTTCCTCAAAGTTTTTTTACTCATTTGTGGGACCACTGCCTCCAGAATTGTTTGCAAAGGGGACAGCTCATTTCTGAAAAAGAAACTGAATAGTTCTGCGTATACTGTTTTTGGCTGCTTCATCAACTGTGATTTTTTTTCGTCCGCTACTAGTTTTTGGCGTTTGTACTTCCCCATGAATTTTGTTTTCTCTTAGTATTTTGTAAATCGATGATTTTGGTACACCCGTATAATCAGAGCACATATCAACTAATTTATCTTTTGCGATTGTGGAAGTTAATGATGTTGGAACGCCCGGTTGGTTATTCGGAGGTACACCCGTAAAATTACAGCGCATATACACTAAGTCATCTTTTGGTCGCTGATGATCTCTTTCAAGACAGTGGAATACTCGAAGTACAATTTGTTTTTCACTTAGAGACCGAGACTTCGACCGTTTCCCCTTTTTCGACGTTGAAGGCCTTGCAATGTCTCCCATTTTTTGAGTAGTTTTAGAACGGTGTAGAAATATGATTATTTATTGTTTAAACACTTATTAGCACTATTATTTTCACCAATTGTTATCACAACACGTCGATTACTTACTAACTTAACTGTAAAACTTACAATTCACGCTGTATAATTTAAAAGCCGATGATACGCTCGTGGTTGCAAGTACATTACTGAGCACTGCATCGATGAGATGGATTTTACGCGAAACTGACAAAGACACAAATATCGTTCCGTACAGCGTTGCCATTAGTTGTAATAAAGACTGAACAATACATAAAATAATTAATTTTAAATGATCATGAAATGTATAAGTATTACTCATTACTGATTTTGGTCATATATAAGATCTTTAAATCGTACTAGGATTGTATATTATCTATAATTTGCCACAACCTAAAACTCTACTGCTTACTATATTTTGATTCTGCTAGAAACTGGTAACGTAAAATTGAGATATGACAATGCGGTTTACTCTCATTCATTATTTGTTTAACTTTAGTAAGCGGATAAACCGATAAAACTGATCTAACAATAGAAAATGGCGTTCATTAACTACAACATACATATTACCCATCATAAACAGAACAATTATCACAATACATTAATACCGATGTCAAGGTTTATCATAAAAGTTGAGTTGTAATGGACTAGAATGTGTGAAGCAGTTTTCAATTCTTCATCTAGCCGATTCTTAATCTGATTAATTGATCTCGATGAGACAGTGTTCTATTACAGGTTGTTTCAAGTGTATACCACCCGGTTGCTTATACAGGGTGTCCCAAATTGTTTTACCCATGCTATAACTTCTAAACCATGCAAGAAATCGAACCGGACAAAAGTCATCCATTATAATTGGCGGTGCACTTTGAAACAAATAAAAATTTGATGACGCACCCTCAAAGACTACCCTCCCGGAACAACACCCTCAAAAATTAATAACGACACCCTATTTTTTTTCTGCTCATTTTTGTAGCCGCTACTTTTCTCTGTACAACTGTTTTTAAAATTTTGAAATTGCTCCATAAATAAGTGAGATTCTTTTTTTTCTTTTTTTTTTTTTTTTTTTTTTTTCATATTTTCATCAAGTTGCTTGCTGTCAAATTCATGGTAAGTTTTCTAGCGCATTATAAACAATACTATATCGTGCTCATAACGTACAAATTGTGAGCCAATATTTGGCAAACACTTATGGAAACCGTGCTATATGCACGCATTCTCCAATTATCCAGTGGCTGGCTAGTTCACCTGATTTGTCGCCTCTAGATTTTTTTCTGGGGGTACTCTAAAGGACGTAGTATACGAAATAAATCCAGAGGACTTAGAAGATTTAAAAAATATAATCAGACATGCTTGTAACAGATTTACACCGGCCATGATTCGGGCTGCCTGTACTAGAAATTTATTGTTAAGGTTTGGCAAATATGTGGAAGTGGGAGGTGGACAATTTGAGCACTTATTACTACTCTTTGTTTGTTGATATTTATTTCTTGTCTTCTCCTTCTCTTGTTTCAATGTATTTTTTTAAATATGTGTCACCTAATAAAGTATTTTTTATCATCAACAGTTTTATTTAATTTCTCACTTATTTATGGAGCGGTTTCAAAATTTTAAAAACAGTTGTACAGAGAAAAGTAGCGACTACAAAAATGAGCGAACAAAAATTAGGGGGGTAGTTTTTGAGGGTGGGTCGTCAAATTTTTATTTGTCTCAAAGTACACCGCCAATTATAATGGATGACATTTGTCCGATTCGATTGTCTTGCATAGTTTAGAAGTTATAGCATGGGTAAAACAATTTGGGACACCCTGTATAGTTTCTTGTGGCTTATTGCACTTTTCTTTTTCCAAATGTTTGGTGTGTCATCTGTGTGTTCTATTCTGATAAGCATTAAAATTATTTTACGAAAGTAATAATTCCAACTAGTCCATCAGGTCATCTCTAAGTAACTGCATCTCTTAAGCTTTGGAGCTATTCTTTGAGCTTTTTCTAACACTTCTATGTCTTTAACAAAATATGGGTTCCAATCAAGGTTTTATATAATTTGGAAATAATTTCCTTTTAATGGTATTTGAATGCAATTCTAACTGAATATATCATCGTATTGGTGGCCTTTTTTGCATTTTAGATTAATGAGTTTCTCATTTTAAATCGAGATATAAAAACACCAAGATCTTTTTGAACTGAAGTCTTTCTCAATTGATTTAATATACCTTATTTGGATTGTTCGAACTTATGTGCAGTACTAAATATTTATTATAGTAATTCAAGGGGAGCAATCATTTGTCTGAGCAGCTGCTAATCGTTTCTTGTTTGTTTATAAATATGTATACTTTTAAATAGATATAAGTCATTCACTGAATTTACACCCATATCGGATTAAGAAATAAATGAAAGATTTGACTGGTCAGTTGTATTTTGAACATTTACTCATGGGTGGCGTTATTTTGTATATTGCAAGGGGTTCTTATAGAAACAAAATAAATATAAATTTTAGGTATTTAATTTGGCCTCAGAAAGCTTAAAAGAGATAGTTACATGATTTGTTGTTTAATAATAGTTTATTCAGAACAAACATTTTAATTTACATACACAGTTTTACCCTGCGATTAAGTAAGTACGATGATTAAAAATAGCATAACTTAAAATTCTATATTAAACAGTGATTATTATAAATAATTCTTTTGACATACCTATAAATCTTCAGCATCACTCTCAAAATTTGTGTCACTAGCGTCGCTGTCCACCAGTCGTCAATTAATTTATCACATTTTTGAACACTGCCAAATTTCTGGGGTTGATGTATCCAGTGCTTGTTTCCATATTTCCCTTACTGCTTCGTCGCTGTAACCATTAATTCCAATATGATTGTCATAATACGTTTTACATATACCCCAAATGTAATCGATGGGGTTAAACTGACGATGGTACGGTGGAAGCCGTAACACATCATGTCCATAACTATGTATGACTTGACCTACCATATAAACTTGTGGTGGTTCATGCCGTTTGGCTAAAGTTAACAACTCAGATTTAAGGACGTATTGTGGAAATGCAACATTTTCGTTACGTATCCATTCTTGTATTTTGGCTACAATCCAATTCTGTCTTGGCGGTTTGTTTAAAAGTTATGTGTGATAGCTCGCATTATCTAAGACAACACTATAACAGACGGTTCACTTAAATTTGGTAATAGTTTTTCATTTAACCATTTGATAAACATATCCGAGTTCATGTTATCATGGTAGTCTTCCAATTTTGATTTAGAGGAAAATATTAATCCTGCACCATCCACAAATCCATTCTTTCCACCTGCGTGCAAGATTATGTGTCGCTTTCTCTCACCATTAGTATGTTTTATTGATTTTATATTTTCATCTTGCCATATTCTGTTCGTCCCACCTTTGGAAAATATCCAGGTTTTATCCAAAGATATAAACGAAGCTCAATTCTCTTTTAAACGAGTGTATTCTCTTAAAAAAATGTATTCTTTTGTGAACAACATTATTTTTTTCACATAAAGCTTTTCTATTATCTTCTTTCTTAAATTTGAAACCTATTTCCTTAAGCAACTTCCAAAGACTTGTTCTGCCAAATTCACCAATTTGTATTTCTCTTAAGTTAGCCAGCAATGTGTCTAAGTTGACATGTTCCTTTTTCGCACGCATTTCATACACCATATAACGAATACGAAATTTTGTCCCACCAGATATATCCGACGTTTTCAGTTTATTGCGAGGTGTGAATTTTTTCTTTTTTTGTTCTCTCCGCTTTTGACGTTTTTCAAAACATATTTTAATTTTGAATCACTAAAACCGAGAGCTGTACAGACGCGTTCATGCACACTCACTACTGACTTTAAAGGTCCTCTGTTATCTTTTTACGCCGTAAAATACTTATTAGATTACAAATTAAGTCATCTACACGTAACACGCGCTTCGGCATTTTCAGTTTCGACATACGTTTTCTTCGAAATCCAAAACTGAACTAAATAATTTAGCGCAATTAGTCCTATAACAGTACAAAAATAGAACATTTAATCTTAATTTTATACCTGAGGAGGGGACTTCCGGAAATTCTTGACCATAAAGCGTTTATTGTATTCGGGGAAAATGGTATTACTATAAACAATGTCCAAAACAAAATTATAAATATTTTCATTTTTTCGTGTATTACTTTAGTAATTTAATTTTAATAAACATAATTACATACTATATAAGTATTTAATAATTAAAATATATTCACCCTATACCCACCGAAGGACTACGCTTATTTTACTCAACTACCCGATGCGAAATTATCCTGTAGACCGGCTCAGTCGTGCATCTGTTTCTTAATCCGATATGGGTGTAAATTCAGTGAATGACCACCTTTTTGTTTTTTCGGCGTACGGACATGATCATCAGATATCTGGAACGGCTGCTTCCATGGTACACGGTGTCAAACCATACTACTCTAAGCACTTGTGAGCAGAGGCCTTTTTAAAACATATCTACGCTTCAACTTTGTTTCTTTGAACTCGGTCAATATAATTATCAAAAAATAGCTCGAAAAAGTCTAATTATATTCTGAATGTTCTATACTTGTTTTAATATTCTAATCTAAATATGTTTTATTTTCTAAACAGTATTTCACCAAGAAGTAACGAAAATCCACCAGGAAGTTCCGGTTCCAGCCCGGATATTCAACGTCATCGCAAATCGAATTCTTTGGATGCGGGCAATAGAAGTAAAACGGCCGTACAAACGGTACGAGAACGGTTCCGTTGTATAGCACCCTATCCGCCAAACAGCGAATACGAGTTAGAATTGCAGGTCAACGACATCATTTATGTTCATAAGAAAAGAGAAGACGGTTGGTACAAAGGAACGCAACAGAGAACCGGAAAGACTGGACTCTTTCCGGCTAGTTTTGTAGAAAGTTATTAACCAGTGATTTTTACTTTAAAATTTTCCAATGTCGTTTTCTTCAAGACGTTCTTTCCAAGTTCTAAACTTAATTGTTTTGTTCCTTATTGACAGATTGTTTTTTTTTATATAATATTCGCCATATTTTCAAAAATATTGCGAATATTAATTAACGGAAAAGGTACGAGTGCAAATATTTCAACACAGTAGTTGATATTGTTTGTTAAAAGACTTATAAAACTGGCATGTGATTCACACTTTTTTTTCTTCTAAAGTATGCCATTGCTTACAAAGACGAGTCCTGTCCGTGATAACTACAGATGTCTCTAAATAAAAAAAAATGTAAGCTCCGACATGCGTAATTTTTTCCATGGCCTACTTTAGAACAAAATGTATCACTCCATAGTATTTACAATTAAGTGCCTGTAACTAATTGTCCTATATAAAATAAGTCAGTATAGTTCAATAATATTTATTTATAAATTATATGCGAATTGATTTTAACCGGTTTTACAGAATTTTTGTGTTGAAACCCACGTTTAGTTATTTATTGTTATTTTTTTTAATATTACCAGAATTATATTTCTTAACTTTTATGTGATTTAAATTCATTAGTAACAAATTAATCAAACAAAACTGTTGACTATTTTTAGTCTTTTTACATAGATATAATGAATTTGTAATAAATGCCCGGCAGCTAAATTGTCGAAAATAAAAATATACAGGGTGAATTCTAAGTTGATGTTTTTTTAACTGTATATAGAAGTTAAAATAAACATCTTTTTCAAATAACTTTTTTGAAAAAAATCAAAAATAAGAAAGGTTCAGATTTAAAAAATAAATCCAGTTCTGCAATTGTGTGTTAAAATTTCGCTAAATATTAAGTTTATATTTTTTTACTTTTTTTTTTTTTTTTTTTTCAATAATGAATCACTCCGTCATTGTCTATCGTTTTGTAACTCGGTCGTAATTACAGTGGTGTTTATCTGAAATACCTAGTAAATTTAATTTTTTTTAGTACGGTAAATTATGAGAATAATAAACTTTGTAGGCATGTTTCTTATTTATGATGAGTGTCTTCAAACTGCAGCTGCTGCTGCATCGGTATCATACAGTCAACGCTTTCCCTTGAAAAGTGTGAACAACATTGCGGGAAAATGTATTGTACACGTTTCAACGTTTCACGTGTTCAAGCACTACAACTTGAAGATTTCCCCCGCCAATGGTTTTTACAATGGTATAAATGAATCGGTCATTTGAGAAAGTCGCTGACTAATGGTGTTTTTCTAATACACGCGGCACACAAGTTAATACAATTAGCTGTCGCAGATTGACCGAAATTATGTTGGAAATACATGTGCGATCCGTAGGGATGGAAGAATTAGTGCTTGAGTAAAAATATCACTCTATAATTACATATTTTATTTTAAAACACTATTGACATTATGTTAATTTTATTACATGGTTCATTTACAAACTAAATACTTTTTACACTATATACAGACTTTTTTCAGAAATTTGTTACTTAAGCACTCAAGCCATCTTGTACACCACAGAACGATGTATTGTTTTTGAGGGGTACTTAAGCTCTGCTGGGAGAGAAGTTGTTCAGCTAGATTGAGAGTGACAATCGACGTTGACCAATTAATAAGTGCGGAACGCTGGTGTTTTTAACCAATGAGGGTGATTGTCGGGTATGAATGACCAATGAGAAGTGGACAAGAAGTGAATGACGCCTGTGACGTAGCTATTATCTATTTTTTATTTATTTAATCATACATCCAACGGCCAAGGCCCATTACAGAATGCGCAATATACATTAATAAACATTATGGGTATATAATACAACAAATAGTGAAAAACACATTATAAAGTTAAACTATAAATAGCGAGATTGTTTGAGTAATCTGAAAAAACTCCAGTGGAGAAAAAAGATTAATCACACATAACGCATTAGAAAATAAAATATATGAAAAAAGAACATTACAAACAAGAAAATATCCATACAGGGTGTTTCAAAATTCATGCGACAAAATTCAGGAGATGATTGCTCGTATGAAATTAAGATGGATCTTTCCAATAACAAAATTTTCTCAGCCCACCCCTTTCCGAGATATCACCCTTAAAAGGTGGTGACAAAAATTGAGTTCTTTTTTTTTTTTTTTTTTTCTAAAATTTCAGTGAAGCTAGAAACTTGAAATTCTGTAATTTTATTTTGGGAGGTGGTTATTTCCAGCATTTATTATGAATCGTATTACATTTTACATCTTTACTGTTTTCCACTCAATTTATTAAAAAAATTATAAATTATGGTGTTTATTTTTTTTCTCTGTAGCTATTGGTTTTGTAAAAAAAATTTAGGAATAAATTTTTTTTTTAAATAAAACAAGGATTTCAAGTTATAATTTTATTTCATAAAACTTCATCTAGAAAAAAAGTTTTGATATGAAATAAAGTAAGGATTGCTAATTTCACACCCCTATAATGTTACAGGAATATTGAAAAAAATACCCATAGTTAGTCCTTTGCGAGTGTACGAAAATTACAAAACTTCAAGTTTCTAGCTTTACTGAAATTTTTGAAAAAAAAAATAAAAACTCAATTTTAAGGGTTATATCTCGGAATGGGGTGGGCTGAGGAAATTTTGTTATAAGAAAGGCCCATCTTAATACGAGCAATCACCTCCTGAATTTTGTCACATGAATCTAGAAACACCCTTTGTATAAATTATTTTATAAGGAATATAAGGGATTAAGAGAGATTTTTAATATTTAAAATGCTGGTACAAAATAAATCAATATCTCCACTTAAGTCATTAACTGTGGACAGCATACAATGCAATGGAGACTGACATAGTAAATTTGTTCTGGGAGTGGGAAGAATGAATGCAGCTGTGCCTAGAATTGATTCTAAGAACAAAAAAGTTAAGCTGAGCATAAAGAGCAGGCCATTTAATTAAATGGTGTACTATTTTGTAAATGAAAATTATTGAATATATAATTCTACGTTGAAATAAGCTCTGCATTTCAAACATTGCTAAAAGCTGGTCTTGTGATTATCCCCTCTCTGGGTAGGTTCCATAAAAATAATAAGACTTAGCAAAACGTCGCTGAACCTTTTCTAAAGTCAAGACGTGCTCATTATAATTAGGGGACCATATTACTGAGGCATATTCAAGCTTGGACCTAACAAGGGTATTGAACAATTTGCAAGTATCTGGATTATTAAAATCTTTGATAGATCGTAAGATGGAACCTAGAACTTTATAACACGAGGCGACAGTTACGGCAAGATGATTAACGAATGATAATTTAATTGAATCGAATACAGCGCCAAGATCTTTAATCATGTCAGGTCTCTGCAGGACGACTCCTCCTATATTGTAATCGTATCTTATACAATCAATCTTTCGCTTATATGACATAACGTTGCATTTTGCAGGATTTAACATAAGATTATTAATTAAACACCAATTGTGAATTTTGTTTATGTCGAATTGCAGTAAAGTACAGTCATTGATGTTATCAATCTTTGAAATAAGCTTCAGGTCATCAGCGTACAGTAAATATTGTACATTTACATTATCACAGATATCGTTAATGAATATTATAAAGCATAAAGGACCTAAAATGAACCTTGTGGTACACCGAAAACTTGAGATATCAAGCGAGATTTAACACCATTAATAAGGATATACTGGGAACAATTACTTAAGGTAGTTCACTCGCGACAGTCGTACACAAAAATATCGCCCTATAGTGAATACCAACCGTTCGAGATTCTTAAATCTAAAGAAAGGTTATTTTTGTAACAGACTACACACAACACATGTGATCCTATACACAAATATGGTATTATATCGCCTAAAATCCATCCGGCAACGTCGCAAATATATTGTGAAACGTCAACTGTATTCCTAAAGTTATAGCGTTTTCGACTTGTCACACTCAGTTCACACTCGTGAAGTGCGAGTTTTCGTTGCTCAGCACTGGTTCAATTGTATAAACTTATTTCAACCGAACACGCAGTTGACCATTCGATCAAAAAATAAATGTAAATATCAAAATGTTTCATTGTCAGAATCAATTGCGAGATAAAGGAAAATTTGTTAAGCAGAACGTCCTCAACAAACGCAAAAAATCAATTTTGGCTATGAATAATGCAAAAAACTTGAGAAAGGAAACCCCAAGCTTGAAAAATAACCTGTGCAGTGGTCGCATCGTGGAATTACTAGAGTTGGGAAAACATTTAAAATGTTGCTGGTGTGAAAGAGTTCTTTCTCTTGAAAATATTACAAATGAAACACGAAAGGGCCTTTATTCAATTTTAAATGTTAAATGTAATATTGAAACTATAGTACCTACGGACAAATTACATGCAACAAAAAGTGAAGTTAAGCATTCAGATGTCAACACTAAAGCAGTTCTAGGTAAATTAAAAAAAAAATACATAAGTATTTGTTATGTTTATAATTTTTTTATTATAATTAATATAATTTTATTTATTTAAAGGTGCTGTCCATTCAGGGTTTGGTCAAACTGCTTTAAATAAATTTCTTGCTGTCGTGAACGTTCCTACGATATCATCAATACTACAGAAAATCATTACTTTTATTTGTATTTTTTATGACTTCCTCATACTAGTAAGTTAAAATTTTAAATTACTTTATATTCATTTTTTTTTTTGTGTAACTGTATTTTATTTTGAAGGCATGTTTAAATAAAATTATATTCATCTTTCACATATTTATTTAATTTTGAAGACATGTTTAAATACAATTAAATTTAAATTGTTAAATCAATCAACCTAAAGTATAAACAACGTCCCTTCCCAGAAGGTCTCGATAAAGTGATAAACTTGACTTGTCCGCATCAATAAAAAGGTTGGGAAGCACTGATCTAACAGACATTTGAATTAGCGGGCGTTGAGTGTATCGATTACAACATTGCCAAGTTGTAATCACAATACGCCACTATGCGTCGACTGCTTTAACCCATTAACGCCGGAATTATTTTTTTTTTTAATTTTAGTTGTTTTTCCAAGTGGAGGTTGTTAAAATTGTCTTTTTGATCAAAATGTTTTAATACTTTTTTTTTTTGAAGTTCACTTTTTGAAAAAAAAGCCGTTGCCATATATATGGCAACGCTAGGCGCTTTCCATACAAACATACATTTTCTGAAAAATAAAGTTAATGGGAAATTTAAACGAAAATAACATGATAGAACTAACTTTTTATTACGAACTAAAATTAACAATGTTGCTACGACATAAAAACAAAAAGTTGGAGGCAAAATAATTATTTATAAAAATTTATTTTGTGTGAAATGGCATAAAACAATTGATGCACAGACCGACGTTACACTTATTGCACATTGTTCTAACTATTGATTTGCAACTTCGATACGCACACCTTTTTTTCTTCGTTTTATCCTCTCCAATTGAACGAACCAAATGATCTTTGCCATCGTATCGAATATCATCTGAAATCCTGCTATCAGAACTGCGGTGCACTGAACTAGATGGTCTACCAGACCCCTTAGAAATGGAACGATAACGATGTAAATAAACATCTACTACTTCACGTCTAAAATCTAATTGTGGCATATTTGTTTTATTAGCTTTATTATATAAAATCCAGCTATTCTGCATAGCAACATCAAGTATCCAGGTTACAACGGGCCAGTACCATTTTTTGCTGCGTACTCCTATACGATATGTTGCTATGTTTTGATCCATAGCATCTGTGCCTCCCATGTATTTATTATATTGGGATACTACTTGGGGTTGAGGTACCATAATATGTTTTTTTCCGCTTGGGAATACCGTCTTACATTTTTAACGTCTCCGACTCCATATTTGTTGGACATCATAGTAACCACTGAATTATCAGCCCATCTTATATAAATAATGCCATCATTTGCCTCAATTACCTTTTGGAATGTACCTCTAGGATGTTTAGCAAACATTTTCTTATCCGTAAGAGGCGCTGACTTAGGCAATCGATTTTCTCTGACTGTTCCAACAGCATAATGACCCTTGAATTTTAAAAATGAGAATAAATTGGCATTTGAAAATAAGTTGTCTGTGTAAAAGTTATATCTTAGATTTTGCTTTTCAAAAGGCAATTCTTCCAACATTACAACTAGAGGACCAGCACACGTTCCAAAGAGAGCATCATAATTAGATTTTGAGTCAAGATTTTTTCCCTGATACATTTGGAAATTTACGAGATATCCACTTTTTGTGTTAATACACCACATCTTATACCCGAATCTAATGGGTTTGCCCTTGATGAATTGTTTGCATCCATGTTTTCCGAAGTACTTTACCATACTTTCATCAAAAGATAGACTTTCTTCTGGAACAAAGTGCTCCATACACTTGTTTTTCATTTTCTCTATCAGGGGACGAATTTTCCAACATTTGTCTTTAGTATTTATTTGATTATTGTCAGTAAAGTGCAAAAAGCGACAAATTTGGAGAAATCTGTCTCGTCGCATTGCTTGCGTTACAGCCTCGTTCTTCATGTCAGGTTTTGAATCCCAGAAATGGCGTTTCGATGGCAAATCATTATATCCTGTAATGAAAAGAATAGACAGAAAACATCGAATTTCATCTGAAGTAATGCGTGGATCAGGACAATTTAAAAATAGTGCATATCGCTGAGTTTCTAAGACTATATATTCTATAAGGTCATCATCTACAAATAACTCGAACATCTCTGTAGCTGTTTTTCCTTCATACTTGGCGTATGACATCTCAGGAAATTGAGACTGAGGTGGCACCTCCAGGTCAGCATTTTCAATCCAACGAAGGTCATCTCTTTTTCTTTGCATCCTATTTCTTAGCCATTCCTCAGAGGGGGTGGTTAGAAACATGCCACATGCGATACCCTGTGCTCCTGTATTTAGGTTAGGGATTTCTGGGTCAGTTTCATCTAACGGATCAAATTCACCGATTCTGCCATTATTAGGAAGCCGAATCTCAGCCGCTGCACGTAATTGCCGGGGGCCAAGATTATCAACCATTGCCCCTTCATCTTCGTTACCTGAGTCCTGATCTGTATCTTCATTTACATCAGGAGGTTCTATAAAAATATCGGCTACAATGTCTTCATCTTCCACCATTGCCAAAGCTTCTGCGAGAGAGAAGCCCTTACTGTAAAAGAATAAACCAAATAAAAAAAACTGAATAGTAATTTATCTAATAAACGAGCTAATACATGAAAACACCATGTCCGTTATAAAATTGTAAAATAAACATGATCCTCTAGGAAGCGCTTAGCGTTGCCATATGGCAACACCTAACTTTACGTAACCCTACAGGCTTACATGGATTATTTTGGATTTACAAAACTCTAATAATGTATAAAAGAAACTATACACATTACGATAAAAGCTTCATCTAAACTGTTCATTGCTGTAAATGAAAAAAAAAATTACTAACCTGAAACGAGCGTAAATATTTTGGTCCATTTTTATTTCACTAAAAATCAATAAAACACTACGAACCTCTGTTAGCTAACAACTGAACGGCCGTACGCAGATAGATTGGCTAGTACCTCCTTGAGCAGATAATGTGATTTTAACCCCTCCTACTCGTCGGTATTGGTCTGAATGAAATATTAAACACTCTTATTATTGCTGTTGCCATATGGCAACGCACGGCGTTAATGGGTTAAGAAAATTTTTATTTTAAAAATCTATATTTCTTTATCAAAACGGTAAAAAAATTCAGCGTTTTTTTAGAAAATTTTATAACTTTTTGATTTACATTAGTTTTTAAAAAATATGGTAAAAACCGTTTTCGAGATATCTTGAAATTAATGCAATGATTGTGTACATGACAGGGCTTCAAGAGTGTTAATTATGTACATTTTAATTGTTAATATCTCGTAGGAACGCAGAAGAGATAGTACATTGTCAGAACAAATCAACATATTTTGGATAACAAAATTAGATGACTAAGGCGATCGAATGCTTAGGTGAAGTCAGTGTAGATCACATCTACCTGACCACTTGGGTCCAATATATCGCTGATAAATTCAGTTTTAATAGCTAGGTTAGTAACGGTAGATCTCCCACGAACAAATCCATGTTGTTCAGGTAAAACCGAGTTTTCGATATGCCTGTAGAAAAATTTGGTAGCAGTGATTTCGAATATTAGATGGAAGACCGTTCTTATCGGCCAAGGCAGTGCCGCAGAGACGTCTCCAGGAGTAAAAGGCAGTGCGGCTTGCAGAGACGTCTCCAGGAATAATAAAGAATTGAGAATAAAAACTTAGCGCAATGTTGAATATAATTCAACAGCAGTATCACTTAAAATAAGTCAGTATGTGCATTTTAAACATTTTTTTGAAAATAAAGATCTTGTCAAACTAAAGCAGTATTTTCTGGAATGAGAAGACGTACTTGAATTTTATAAAGATAACTAACTATAACTGGCCAAATGTTGATAAAGATAAGGTTTTAGATGAAATTTTAAATTAAATAAAAATATTGTTAAATAAACATATTATTTCATTAAAATATGTAGTTTTATTGTCTAAATAAATTAAAATAATATCCGTATATTTGAGAAACCCCATAAGTCATAATTTTCAAAAAAATATTTTGGCCTCTTTAGAAAAAAAGCACAAGTTGTTTTGATACTATCAAATGGTAAACCAATCTCGCAGTTTAAAAAAAAAAAAACAATGCTTTGTCTCACACACAGAAATTATTGTTAGTTTCTTATTTTTGAAAAAGTTATTTGAAAAGTTGTTTATTTTATTTACTTCTATATACAGTTAATATTAGTTTGTGCAACAAGAGTGATATGATGGCCATATCGCACGAAGACACTCAATCATCCATGTGCGATACAGACAATCCGCTCAAGTTGTACAGTATAGGAAAACGACCCACTAACGAAAATCAAAAAATTTTAATAATTATTTTAGGTTATTGAAATAAAATAAATAACTAATTTAAAAATAATTTATGAGTTATGCTAATTTATATAATAAAAAAAATTATTTAATTAGTCTCCAATCCTAGAATTTTACCTTGGACCTCTGCGTAAAAGCCAAATGACCTTATCACTGGTCCATCACCACACATATTGTGATGTTTGTTTACTTTAAAACAACAGTTTATTTATTAATAATTTATTTAAACATTTATTTTATAACACAATTATTCTAATTTATATATACTTAGAATGTCTTTAACTGATCACTATTTATATTCACCACTGTTTATCTACTAATTACTATTTATCTTCACTGTCCATATAATAACTAACTGCACTCTGTTCTTCCACCAATATTTATATACAAATTTCTAAAGTTTGGTGGAGTCTAGAAGCTCCTCCACCAAACTATAAATATTTGGAACAGTCCAGAAATGAATCGGTCATTTCAGAAACAACATGAGTCAAAAATTTTAGTTTTGATTTATTCTCAAAAAACTGTTTTTAAGGCGATGTAGAAGGAAATATCTTAAACAAACATTTTAATAATATTAAATTGCTTTGTTCTTTATGTTTTACACCCTTTTTTGTTTAATTAGATTTTTGCTTTTGCCATAATTTGTTTTTTATTCCACTGACTTATGTTGTTTCAGAAATGAATAAAAATAAAATAATTTTGGAATTTTTTATTGCCACCAAAAAAACTCAAAATAACAAGGTAAACATATTAATCTTCATAAGTTGCATCCGTAGTAGGCCACTGCATAATTTCGTCAAAGAATAATCTTCGTTCTTCTGGTATATATTCCATCAGCTTGCGAATATCGTCAATTTTTTTTTTGTTTATTGGAACTTTACCTATTGGATAGGCGGAGATTGTTGGTAATGGTGAAATCCTATTAGTTATTTTAAGGCTAAATCTGTGTTTTATCAAACCATTAATGTTTTCTGATACCGTGACAGTTCCTGGGTGATCATGTGAATAAAAAAAATATGAGTATTTCGAAATTTGAAAAGTTATTTTGTTATCTCTTTGAACTAATTTGCCTACCGAATCTTCCGACAAACAGTTTTTTTTTGTAATAGGTAGGCCACCATTTTTTGAATTCTATAATATCTAAAGTGTCTACCATTTTGGCAAAAAACTTCTTGTGTCTTGTAGAGTTTACTATCATTTCTGTGTATTCTTTTGGATTATAAACACGGTCACATTTTTTAATGACCCTTTTTATCACGGCAAAGTTTCTGTCGTTCGGCAAAAAGGAATGGCCGCGTTGTGGGAAGTATTGGTTTATAGACTCAAATCTTCCATTTTCCACTAACGAAAGCAGAAATCTTATAACGGTATGGTTCCGGTTTTGGCCGGCACAGCTGTCAGAGAAAAGGTGAAGATGCTTTACACCAGTCGATACTTCAGAGTTAATGTAATCCATAAGAAAGGAGGCAACTTCATTGGGGCCTTTTCGGGCTTGACCCTCGTGGTAGGTATAGAACATCCCTTGATTTATTTGAATGTTATGAATTCCAAAGACATTATAGTTCAGTTGACGTAAATAAAAACTCTCCTGCACAGGCACAACAGGTAGCTGGAGATTTTGCATGTAGTCAAACGTTATGCCACATACACTGGGATCGGCTTTGCATATCTCTGTAATTTCTGCCATTTTATTGTAAAACTTTTTTGCCCGTCTTTTATGTACAGACAATTCCGCAATAGCCACCCGTTTTGCTGTCTCGTTTAAAGACGGACTCCTAATTTTCACTTCTAATTGCTCACATTCACAACATGTGTCTACCTGAGGACGCCCAAAACACAGAGAAAAGTGTTCCTGGAAAATCTTCAAATAAAACTTGTACCTTACTGATTTATTATCGGGAAATTTAGCACAAAATAGATCATACATTTTTCGTACATTCAGTTTTTTGTCTAAGTAAAATTTCTCTTTTCCTGTATAATGTGCAATCTTAGTGGGAAAACTAGCAATGTGACTTTTGATCTGTTCTACTATAAGTCCAGGCTTAGCATTACCTGATACGTTTTTCCCACGTTTATCTAGTGGTGCTCTTCCTTGTGCAAGAAGGCTGGAAATTCTTCGAATACGTTGAAAACTGACAGCATGAATACTAATGAAAGCTTTCTTGCATACAGTAATTTTACCAGATGAACCTGACACGGAATAACTAATATTATATCCTCTATTCTTCGGATTTTCTTTACGTGGTCGTTTTTGTTTTATTTCACACTTTCCCATAAGCCCTTGTAAGTAGGAATCTTGTGCATCCTTGGTAAGCATGCTTCTGAATTTAGTAATTATTTCATTCCTGATATCTGCACTAACTTTTTGAAAGCACTTCAGACGACAACTACAACAATATAACTTAATATTTTACTGTATAAAACTAACTTAACCTCAAAACTTACCGACAGTCTTCTCCTGGTTCCATTGCAGGTACAACGTTACCCTTATAATTTACATATTCTTCTCCACACAGTCTCGCTTTTTTAATAACTTCTGACTTATAAATGCCCTTTTTACCTTTTCTTTTCAAAGTAATTTCTGGAGCAACAGCACTGCTCGTATTTACTGCGGCCATTTTTAACGTTTTGTTTACATTTGATAATTCCACGCAAAAACAACACGAGTCCATGACTCATGTGGTTTCAAAAAGGAACCGGTATTTTCATAGGCTGCAGTACATTAAGTTAAGATGATACTCATGTTATTTCTGCTTGGAATGGTGCGTTTACGTAAAAAAAGATGATTATTGTGTAAATGTCAAATTCAGAAAAAATTGACTCATGTTGTTTCTGAAATGACCGATTCAAATATTATCTCGTCCTTTCTCGAATAGTCATCGAAATCATATCCGCCATAGTCGTCCCATAGGTTTGGTCTTAAGGGGTTTAATTATGTATAATAATCGGACAAGTTGAGCCTCAAAGGCCAAATAAGACAGAGAGGGACTTGTAGGGTTAGAGCATGACTGAATAATGAAATGGCTCACATAACAATATTTTAGTTTGAATTGATTTCATATAGTTTTATCAAAATGTATGTTATTTTTTAATATAGACAAGAATAACTCATTTTAATGTATATTTTATCTCAATAACTAAAAGATATACTGACAATTAGTTTGACAGAATTGTCATTTATTTACAATTTAAAAAAAAATAATAGTAATTTGGTAACCAAATATGAACTGTGATTGGTGGATTTCATATTCGTGCAGTGTTCTTAGTAGGTAGAATTGATATAAAATTTTCTTCATTTGAACTTATTGACCTACTTTTTTGTTTTGTAGTATGTGCGTAGAATAGCTAATATCCATGTGGGTGTAGAAAAAACTTATCAACTTAGAATTCACCCCGTATTGCGCTCATATTTATTTAAATTTCTAACTGAGCTTAGAAACGTCTTTTCTAAGAAATATGAATCTGATTGTTAATATTGCTATTATAATCTTTGCTTTTTGAACTGTAACTGAATCGGAGAGTTCGAAAACCGTAATGTCCATAACCAGCCTTCCGAGAAAAACAATAACCTTTTAACGATTCACGAATGTGTACGGTTTTTCGCCTAATTTCACGGGTGTAATCAGCTGTACTACGTTAACAAATAGGCATTTAGTACGGTTTTTAAGCTCAATCGATGAAGAGATAAATTTTAAACAAAATGTCTAGCTTACTTTAAAATGTCAAATTTTGGACTTGTACGGTTTTCGAACTCACCGATTCAATTCATCGATTATAAGTACCAAAAAATTTAATTTCTGAAGGTTTTATAATATACTAAAAAAATCTGAGAGGAAATTATATCCATTAGTGAAATCAAAAGTGCTAAATTTATTGTGTATATAAACCAAACGACGGCCGTCGCCAAAGAGTGGTCATCCATAGTAAGAACAAAAATATATATTTTTTTTATTTAACAATTCATGATTAGTAGGTACTAAAATTTAACTCCTTTACTATAGTCTCAATCATTTGCCAGACCACCAGTGAGAGCGCGTCTTGCCAGCGGGAAGGGGAAAAAGGTGGTACAAAGTAAAACTCGTAAATTTTAAATAAAAACAATTTTAAAAGGTGGCATAGGATTAAAATATATTGCGACGAGTTTGAAGGGCTCGTCGACGAAGCGAAAATAAGGGATTATTCGAAAATAATTTATCGATTTTTCAAAAAATAAAATCGAATAATCGATTATTTTGCCCACCCCCATTTTATATATCAATTTAACAAACAAAAAATTTACAAGTTGCAAATCACCAGACCAACACAATGGTTTATTGATTAGTTTATATCTAATCATTGATAAAATATAATATTGTTATTACGGATGACCACCTTTTGGCGGCGATGTCGCCGCTTAGACTAATAGTAAAAGAATTGTAAATAATTTGTTTATAAGACTTGTCATTTTATATTTATAAATTTACTGCAATTTAGGGTAAATGCGATACTTCTGTGTTCATTGTACAGTTTATTCTATTTATTTATTATATAATTAATTCTATTAGTAATATTAGTGCTTGTTACTTGTTAAAATTTATTTCGGGAATGCTCCAAAAGAAATAGCTTGTAGCCTATTACGAGTCAAAAGATCCAACGATTTCTTAATAGTACACTATATGGAAATATTTTTGACACTTTAAGGTCAATAATGTTAAACCTCTTTTTAACAAAACAAAATAAATAATAATTTCATAAAGTAACTTACAACAATGTGGCGCCGTTCAAAGTTTCCGTTTTATGATTGTCTCGGTAGCCCAATGTGTCGTGTATTTTTACTGGTATTTAGTGTAAAGAGACGCTGGTTCGAATTCTAGCGCAAACCATGTGCATTTTTAATAAATAATTTGCATGGTTTGTTCGTAGAATTTGATAGGTACAGTATTAGCAATAATTTAAATTCTGTTTATACAGCGACCGCTGTCGGTTACAGGTTCGATGAATCAATGCCACGGCAAATAATAATAATAGCCGTCCCTATTACAGGAATAGTATTATTAGTATTACCTATTATTATACGGATATGGCCACTGTTTTAGCAATCATCGATTATAATAACCTTTACTTCTCAACATTCTATTGTGATGGCATTTAGAAACATATAAAACGATTTCTGTTGAAATTTTAAAATATTTCTAAAATTTTGATTTATATCATGCTACTTATATTGATAATATTGTCAAACTTTGCAGTTTAAGTTTCTTAAAAGTGATTTACGTTTGACAGTACTCAATATTAAAAAGAAATTGAGTATAAAATGTTTTTTATTGAACTGGTCCACATTTAAAAGCAAAATAGGGTCCGGCACAAAGGACAGACGTTTTTGAAATGGATAGTACTTTCCCCTATTAGTACAAGAGAGGTGGGGAGTATGCTGTTCGACTCGTGAGTTCCTAGCATTTTGTTACCAGTTGACATTATGAAGCCGACAGTTTTTTTCCGAAATAATGACTATTACGGCTGTACAGCGCGAGTTTCGTCGCCACTTCAACAGTCATCAGAATCGAGCTGTGCCATCTCGAAACACCATCCTTCGTTGGGTTGAAGTACTTCGCACACGTGGTGTACTGACGGACAAAAGACCACCAGGAACTCCTCGAACGGTTGGAACCCCTAAAAATGTGGAATTCGTTCGACAAGCCCTTCTTCGCAGTCCGTCTCGATCAGTTCGGCAACATGCTCTGAACTTCTCCTCAGTGATCGTTCAGTAAGGCGTATTTTGCATTTAGAACTCCACTTTCACCCCTACAAATTGGTCATTGTGCAACAGTTTTATCCTGGAGATTACCCACAAAGAATGAACTTCGCACGTGAGAAGATAGTTCTTATCGAACAAAATGAGAACCTCATTTTGTTCATGAGTGATGAAGCTCACTTTCATCTTAATAGCATGGTTAACTAGCAGAATTGCCGTTATTGGAGTAATGAAAATCCGCGACGGTTACACGAAAGACCGGTGCACACCCCAAAAGTGACAGTTTTGTGCGCTGTATCGCAAACTTGCATCATCGGCCCTTACTTCTTCGAAGACGGTAATTGCAATTCTGTTACCATGAACTCGGAGCGCTATGTCGAAATGATCACCAACTTCTTTTCACATGAATTAAGACGACGACGTCTTCCAGTCCGACCTGTGTGGTTCCAACAGGATGGGGCGTTATTCGCTCTTTCTTCCGTGGTCACCTTATTTTCAGATTTGGTGATGTTTATTGGCCTCCTCGGTCCCCAGATTTATCCATCTGCGATTTTTTCCTATGGGGACACCTCAAGGCTCGTGTATACGACCACAAGCCCCGAAGTCTGGACGAGTTGAAGGAGGCAATTCGCGTGGAAGTCGCCCAAGTTGAGGAAGCGATGTTGGAGAGAGTCTATGCTAACTTGCAAGAATGCCTCCAGCAATGCATTGCCAAAAACGGTCACCACATGACTGATGTGATTTTCCACACTTAATTGTCACAAATGCTATTTCATTGAAAACCCGAATCCGTTAAATTTGTTTTTGAGTAAAAATTACCAATTTTATGATTTTTTAAAAACCAACCGGCCGTCATGCCAGTCCCTGTATAACTAAAACCATTAATTTCCTATTGGCTAGAAATAATTTTCATCTTACCAGATGAAATTTCAAAGGAATTTTGTTGATTTAACAAAATAAGATCGATGTACCTATAATAATTTTGATTCCCTTGAAAAAAAAATACGTAAAACTATACCAAACAAAAATTTCTTCTAAAAAACTTATTTTAGGAACATAATTATAATTTAGACAACATTCCCAAGTAGCAGATAACGGGTTTATAAAAACTGAAGAAAATGTTTATAAGATTTATAATTTTACTTGTAGATATTCTTACAGGCTTTATACAACTCTTATGAGCTTAAATTGGACACCAAATTATAAATCAAAAAAGTTTTTTAGATCCCTTATAAATGCTTTATTAATGTGCCGCAAAATATAATAAATCTTATTTATAGATACTTACAAGGGTTTAATAAACCAATCTCAAATAGTATTTTAAAGACAAATTTATAGTTACTGTATTTGCAACCAATTTGGAACCGTAAACACTTTGACACTACATTTATGAGAAAACTTTATTCTGAACCATTAAAAAGCAATAAATAATTTTATCCTCCTTTAATACATTTTTATTATTTATTGGTATGACGTAAAACAGATTTTACAAGAAAAAAGTTTTATTTATATATTCTCAAAAACAAAATTGTTGTGAACTCTTTAGATTACTGCAGTGTCTAAATTTATAAAGGTTTTAGTTGATATGACGTCTTGCAATATACTTTAATTATGAGACATGACATGAGAAAAGTAGGAAAATATATTACCTTATCGTTTTACCCAGATGCAAATTTTACAACGAGGTTCACTTTAATGTGAAAGTATATACTATTTTATGGTGATTTTTTCTCGTCCCCACCCTAAACATTCAATTGAACGGTAAAAATAAAAAAATTAATTTTTATCTAAGAAAGTAAAAATGTATTAATAAAAGAAACAGATTAAATTATTCTTACTAATAAGCAATAATTTAATATCTGGTGTTTACAGACCATTATTTCTCTA